TCCAATTTCCGTAAGAACGGATATATAAGACAGGGTTCAAAAAATTGCCTCAACCAATTCAAAGTTTTTACATCAATTTAAAAATACGAAATACTATTACTTAGCCATTTATGTCGGGCAATTTCGAAAATTACAATTTTTTCCGCACAACGCAAAAGAATTTTCACCAGAAAATTCTACAGGTGAAAATGATAAAGAAATGGAAAATATCAGTGTGCATAACGGTTAAATTCGATTCAATTTTCCATTATTGCGCCAACGCTAATCGTGAAGCGTTCAAAATTCTTCTTCTTCCATATTCATTATGTTCGGAGTTTATTTCAATTTATGCCGAACCCCACCAAACACGTTCACAGGCTTAAGGTGATGCTGCTCGATCTTATCCCAACTGTCGGTTGAGGTTTCACACACTGTTGCAGTTCGACTAAGAAGTTCTGCCAAACCCAGCGTACGCGCCAGACATGGCACCTCCTGGCAAAGATGACGAAGTGCGAAAATGAGTCGGTGGATGGATCGCTGCTGAAACAATATTAGTTCTTTCGACATAATATCGCCATGTTACCAAAAATATTGTAAAATGTTGTAGAAAATGATGAAACCAAGAACATAGTTAGATAAAAAAATGATAGATCGAATGAGCACAAGAACAAGGCAAGGGAATGAAAAGACGGTTATAGTTAGAAGAACAGACGAGCAGATTCATAGTAGAGCAGGATAACAGACGACGGATGGAAGGACGGATGGGCAGACTAGGATAAGTAGCCATGTAGGTAAGAGTCGTGTCTACGTGGGCATTGCATGAGTACTTTATCATTGTGCGTGTTCAGTCAGTAAGGACATAACATCATCGATTGGTCAAGCACCCGCTAAGTTACTGTATCTTCTCTTTCCACACTGCTTTCTGACCGTGACGAGAAATGTCCTTAGTAGTCATTAAGTCATTTTAAAAAAAAATATGTTAGAACAGAAAGATAGAAGACTTGACTTGTGAAAAACGGGGAAGCGGAAAAAAGGGTAAGTGCAGAAACAATCAAGCAGAGAAACGCGTAAATAAAAACTCAGACGATCGGAATGACGCACAGTCATCGTAACGAATTTACAAACGGAAGAACGCGCAAAAGGAAAATAGGCCGATAAGACGCAAACTCACTTAGCAACGAAAGCGGACAAAAGAATAGAAATACAGAATAAGAAAATTATGAACGAATATATAAAAAGAAGACTAGTCGGAAAGCTCAATGATAGAGACGTCTGGAAGGAGATCACCCACATAGATAGATGGATAGGCTAGCATTGGGAAAAATTCAAAGTATTTTTTAGTTCTACAATTCTATTTATATTGTATTTATCAAATTTTATACAATCTGCTGTAAAAGTTTCCTCGCCTTTCTATCCGTAAACCTTAGATGAGTAAATATTAAAACAGTTCAGCTGGTCACCTTACAAAGATTTCGATTTACGTTCAAATTTTCAAGAGCGATTAGCCTATCTAATTTGTGGAAAGAAACCGGAGGTGGAACTTAATTCTGGAAAGAACCCGGAGGTGGAACCCGGAAGTGGAACTTAATTTGTGGAAAGATGAGTAAACATTAAAAGATGATCAATCCGCTTGAGTGGCGGAGTAGGCAAGAGTCTCGACTAGCAACTCAATGGTCGATGGTGCGAATCGCAAGTGCGGTAGAGTTTTTAATAATGCCGAAAATCTTAGATGCTAGCGCTTTAAGTGCTTTAGTCTTAGAAGTTATTCTCTGGCTAAATTTATAATAATAATAATAATGATAGGACATGATTGTTCAGTTGGTCACCTTACAAAGATTTCGATTCACGTTCAAATTTTCAAGAGCGAATAGCTTATGAATTACAATTTTTGAAAAGAATATATTTTCCTTTTTAAATGTCATTGACCTTTAATGCAAGTATGAGAAAAAGTTTCGAGACTCCTTCGCGATGAAATATCTTCACTGCGTCTTTGTTATTTTTGTATTTCACTCATTTTCTTATGACGACCTGGGCTTTCCATTTCATGTATTATTGCAACTTCCTCGTTCGTCTCGGTTAAATTCCCTCATAAATAAATTGTTATATAAACGTTCTATTTTAACAAGATTTTCAGTTTAATGCCTTTGGTGGTGCTATGTATAATTTTCACATAATAAAAATTATGTGAAAAAAGAATGAAAATGAATAAAAAAAAAAGAAACCACCAATGCAACCATTCGCTGCATGAAACTAGGAGTAGACAAAAGAAATTTCTGTGTTTTAGATCTTGTAGATAATTTCTAAAACAACTGTGAATATAATTCAAGATATAAATTTTACTAATATTTTTTAATAAAAGATAAGTCAGTCAGCTCCTCCCTCTTGTAATCAAGTTTTAGTATTCATAAATAAATATGTTTTAATGAAGATAAATATGTTATTTAAGCAAAATTAAAGTGAAGCACATTAAAAACAAATTTATCACATATCTACTTGTCTACATATTTGAAGTAAGCAACTACAAAGATAAAATGTTACTTTTTATTGAATAACTTACTCCTAACTAACTGATTAGCTAACTCAGTTGGTTTTCGGTAACGTAGAAACCAAGGATGCGCCCGGTAGCTTCTCTTCAGACGAGGAAAGCAACCAAAGAAACTCAAACCTTTGTTTCTTTTCATAGCGTAAATCAGCATATTAAGGATGTAACGAAAAATGCAGCGTAATTTTAAATGAAATTTACAGTAAAAGCGTGAAAAAAATGCAGTTAATAATATAAACAACCTTATAAATACTAATGGGGTAAGTCAGTATAGGTTGACATTTCAAAGTAACAGCCTTGGAGATCACTTCGCAAAACCCATCCAGGGAACAATAGCCACCCTGAACTGAATTATATTACCATCCCTTTGATATTCATAAGGTGTTCACACTTCTACCTTGTTAACATCTTTTTCAGAGCTTGACTTGCTGTCGCCTTAACTCATACTTAAAAAATTCCTGCTTACAAAGAAATCCTCAAAAGTTCGATCGTCTTTTCGATAGGTTGTTCATACATAGATTTTGTAAATACGGAAAGGGAATATGCCCCTGGCAGTTACTAATGTCTTTTTGCATGACATCGTCACCGAAATCTATTTTGAAATGAACAAATTCCTTGGTAGATCGAAGCGCATCGTCCACATCTATCGCAAAATCGAGTGGGTCCAAAAGGGTACAGTTTTTTAAAATCTGATACATCGGAAATAGTAGCAACAGCAGTTAATCATTTCGAGACGAGCCACTTCCTCTCTAAAAAACGCGGACCAAGGGACTTTGCTTCTATGATAACTGACCACCCATTTATCCATACTACAAAACTGGTTCGCGACAATTTGGAAGCACTCAATTCTGAAATGCTAATCTCTGCAACTTACTCACTACGCTTAATTCCTTTCGATTCACTTGTCTGCATCGACAGACCACCTGTCTGTTGAGTAGTTCTTCGCTTCTAACGAAAATCTATGAAATTGGCTTGATGACTAGCTGCCACCAAAAAACCTCAGTTCTTTTGCCGTGACAAACATAGATTGTCAGGTAAAAGGGAATAATATATGAAACCGATGAAAATAATTTCCTGCTTAGGAAGGAGAGTTTTATCACTTATTTAGATCGACGCAGTCATATTTAGCAAGTCAGCGGGTCATAGAAGACGAAGACGTGCGAAAATGTGTCGGTGGCCATTTCGCCTCCAAAGTGGCAAGGTTCTGCCGCGGGAGCATCCATACCGGCATCCAACCGGCAAATGGAAATAGATAATGATGATGCATAATTCAATTAATAAGATTTGCCACAAAAAAATGTGACACCTAATACACAGAACGTGTTTTTTCTGCACAAAATTGCGGTTTTGTACTTATATACTCCGAAAGGTTAAGAAAAATTGTATTAGCCAATACACAAATATTTGAAATTAAGTATTTTTTGCCATTCTCTTGAAACAAACGCTTCCTTCTATAAACAAAAAAAAAAAAAAGAAAAACCGATTACGACTTGCTTTCAAGCCTGGTCGCCTTCTTACTTGTACCCAGCAAGCAAAGCCAAATTTCGTTTCACAATTTCACTGACGGCGAGAAAAATAATGTCGGCCCCTTATAACACATTCATAAATTTAGTATTGGAAAGTTAACGAAATATGCGCCTAGCGTTTTGCGAAACTTGGCAAAATAAATCGTCTGAAAGTATCGAAACATGCCTAAGAATCGCAATGGAGTAATGCTTAGTTTTGAAAAAGTTCGTTGCTAATATAGTCGACAGAAATTAATTTTGCGTAACACTTTTAAACAACTCGGCTAAATATTATTACCGATTTTATCACATCTGCTATAGACTTCAGCAACAATTACAAGCACAATATTTGGATATTTTTATACCCATCCCCGAAGGATGCGGGGCATATTAATTTTGTGAAAACTTTTGCGACGCCCAGAAGGAAGCAACAGATACCCCCCATAGTATATATATATCGCATTCTAAATCGGTTTAAGCATGTCCGTCTGTCCGTCTGTCTCCGGGCATTCTCCTGGCTGCAAAAATGAAGCTATAGACTTCAAATTTGAATTTCTTGCACGCTGGCTGGTATTGAAGATGGGCCAAATCGGTCGAAGGACACTCCCACAGCAACATCTAAACTGAGAATAGCTCAAAGTGAATGGAAAATTGGTTTTTTGTTCATCGCTCATAAACTATAGCAAATAAAGGTACAAAAGTTTGAACGCATATTCTGTAGGCGACGCAATAGCATTTGTGCACAAAGTTTGTACAGGTACTAACAAATTCCCTTGTAATCCTCTGTATAAGTCCATAATTTTATTGAATTTATTTCCATCACTAACATAGTTTATGTGGCAATCATATGACAACCATGGTAACTGTTTATCAAATTTCAATACATTAAGGAATAATTTTCCATTGAAATCTTTGTCGTTGTCTGTCCATATATTTTTCTTGAACTTAATAAAAAGAAAATTAAAAGAGAAAAAATGGTTATTTTACATTTAAAACGCGGTGATGAAAATCTATTCCTTTACGAAACTGATGTTAATGAAAACACCACCGATGTTGTTAAAGATATAACCGCTATCTATAATGGTCGCCTTAAGGTGGAACGTATTTGCATGGAAATGGAAGAATTAGCTACGCATGGTACTCTCTTGCCTCCCGAAATGATTGGTCTGACTGATGAACAAATCGAAGAATTGAAATTAAAGGATATATGGTCTGAGAAATGTATACCGTCCGGTGGTTTTATCTTCAATAAAGATCCAATTGGACGTCGCAATGGTCAACAGCCAAAGGAAAATATGCAAGAGGTCTTACGTAATGCTATGAGAGATGCCCGTGAATTAATCGATAAAAAATTAGTATTGACTAAGCGCCCATTAAATTTGAAAATAGTGGGCGAAGCTATAAATCTCTTACGTGGTGCTGTTACTATTGTCTACCCAATGCAATTGCCACCCCACGATTATATACGTCAGGAATTTACAAATACCGAAGATTTATCTGGCACTCAAGCCTCTAGAGATGTAATAGAACCCTCGAAAGCTCAACTCTGGTTTGCGGGACGTCTTCTATTGAACGATAAGAAATTGAGCGAATTTATTGGTAACAATAATAAAACCAAAGTGGTGGTAAAATTGAATCAGCACGGTCAAGGTCCCCCAGGTCGTGAACCGGTGATAACCGAGGACATACGACGTCAAATGATGGCTGATTCTTATCGCCGTCAAGAGGAATTGAAGAAGTTGGAAATGGACGAAGATGATAATTATCTAAACTCAAGTTGGGCTGATAGCGGCATATTGAAACGCCAAGCCCATGGTCTGGAGAATGTACGGTTCCGTGTGGGTTAGAAAATAAAAATGAATATGAGAAATGCTTTACTTAGACGAAATTATCATAATAAAATATTCACGCTATATGGAAACTTGAAAATAACCTATACAGAGTTTTCGTAAAGGCACAATGTGCATAACCTAAGTAAAATTGAAGCGGGTTATAATAACTTTACTTTTTTTGGCTGACTTACTTTGAAAAATCGCTATATGAATAACTGGTGCAAGGAGTTGTAGGGTATTTATAACGACCCTTGATTTTACTTATTTTATACTTAACAATATATCTGCCGTATAGCGCTAGAAGCTTGGTTTCAGCTACGCATCTTGTCTAAATAATTTTAGCCATGTTCAAATAAAACAATTTCGAACATAAATAAATATAGATTTAATGTTTTCGCCCAATCGAAAAGAAAATTTCCCCCATGGGGCTGAATTTATTTGTTAGCTCAAGTTATAATACTGGTTGACTTACCTACAATAAACTTCCAGAAGAAAAGAGTTGTTAGTTCCACTAGTTAGATGATGGTTCAATTGTTAACGGTGCGGTACACATACTATTGGCCCTAGTACTACGGACGATTTTCTTATACCTTTATTTAACAAAAGATATCAATTTAATCACATTTTTTTTCTGAAATGACCACAATGTCAAAAATGGTGATAAGAAACTAAAATTTTCTCAAAAGTATTCCTTAATCGATTACAAATCCACAGTAAGAAAAAGGTTGGGGTCTGAATGCATTCACATGCACAATGCAAAAGAAACTGAGACAACCTCAGCAAATGCCGACAATTTTTCTATTTCTCCAGCTACAACTTCTGATTATGTGAAGGAATTTCCAAAAACTTGCGATCCACAGACATTCTTACAGACCCACGTTCATGTTCAGTCCAAAATTTCATTTTATTTTTTGCGTTACATGTACTAATGTGAAGCTTCCAGCAATTACTCATTAAGGCCATTTGAAGCGTTAGCTACGGAATGGATATGATCCACCTAAAAAGGCGTTTAGCTTGCAAACATGGAAATAAAACTTGATATGCACACATGTCTTGTAAACGGGCGATTGAGTTAGAATTTTACTTTTATCAAAAGTACACCAGCGTAATGAATATTTCTGATTGCGTTATAAACACAATGAGAAAATTCCTATATATAACCGCAGCGTGCATAAATATATATTGTCAATAATAATTGACAAGATTAAGTTGGATGGATAAGATTATTTTAATCGCAAACAGGAAATCATAATTTTTGTTAGTTCGTGAACTGAATGTTATTGCTTTGCAAAAAGAGAAAGAAAATAACATAATACTAAAAATGAAGTACAAATTACTTTACAAGCTATGATTATGATTAGCATCAATTTTTGTTTTTTTTTTTTTGACTTTAATCAAGAGTTTGTTGAAAATGTTGACTTTTTCTTCAAATTTCAAATAATTGCAGCAAATTTATTTTCATATCTTTGCATTTTCATCAATTTGAATAAAGTTGAAGGACCTTCTATTAAATTTCTTATAAATTTTGACAATTGTTGAACAATATATTGCATAACAAACAAAAAAAGGAAATTTATACAGCATTTGCTAACATCATTTAAGTCAATCAGACCGCATTTCAGCTTTGACTTCGTTTGACAGACAAAATCAGTAGTTATAACACGTTAGGTCTACGGAAAAGTTTTGTCCATTTTTAGAAGATTAGCTTTGCTCTTACATGATCTTGTCGTCGATCACAAATGCTCGCCGAGAACGTGGCTTATCAGAGGGACTGGCGTCACTTATTTTAAAATTTTTCAAATCATCTTCTCCATATTCTATCGGAATCTGTACCTCCATCAAACACTTTCAATGAATTTCTACAAGGTCCTGTAGCGTTTTTTTTCTTGTTGGATTTGGAAGCCATGAGCAAGCAGTCGCGTCTCACTTATTACTCACCTGAATCATTTTCCTTTTAATTTATTTCCTAGGTCAGTATGTACCCATTCGATGATAAAAAGAGAGAGCCAAATATGCGCGGACTTGTTGAAACTTGTTTTAACCGAATGGCCAGAATTTTCCGGTAGACGTATTATATGTGAAGTAATCTCTCACAAAGCACATGGTTTTCAGGGAAACAATTGCATCGTATGCGGTATGCTATCTTGCTGAAGACAATCCAACAGTTATTCCCAAAAAATCTTGTACAACAAAGAAATATTCTTAAATGGAGTTGAGCCTAAGATTATTTCAAAATAGGGGGCTTCAAATGAAACTAAGTCAAAGCAAAGCCGCACTCAAATTCTTTAAGATAATGCTCACCCGAATGCCTACATGACGGTTATTTGACGGTGAGAGACTGTACCTAAACTTTAGTTAGCAAAAGTAACTTAAAACTTAACATGCATAAAGTTACTGCACAGTTTGGGTACCTCTGCGATAATTTGCAGATGAATTAAATAATTTAAGAAAATTGTCTGCAATTATTTACGCTACTCAACTTGAACTTGTCACTTTTTGTTATATTATTATGTAAATCTTCCGCTGAAGAAGAGCCCGTTGTCTCTGCTCATAACTTAGCATTTACGCCTTCAATTAGACGAAAAATGTTTTTGTCAATTGTCAAATCAAATATTCAAGTTTTTTAATGCTATAGATAATGTATATATAAGTAAACAAAAACGCTACAGTACCCAACTTCGCTTAACACACTTATTCACATAACGACTTTGCAAAATAAGATGTTATATGGGGAATGTTCGAAAAAGTTGACCGATTCGAATCATTTTCAAGAGCGTTTATCTTTAACCCAAAGCATGTCAGTGCACCAAGTTTCATCTAAATATCTCGAAACTTGCGACCTGTAGGTTGAATACAAGAAAACAAGAGAGATAGACAAGCTTACAAAGCGATTCTGAATCGATAGGTATAATGAAAGGTGAGTCTATCTCAAATTCTCCTGGGTGTTGTATACATCCGCGCAAACTTAATATGCTTTATAATTAATGCAGTATATAAAAGAAATAATTCGCCGACAGCTTTAAGCTCACTACGCATTTCAGCGAATAACCGGTAGCTATCCGGTTAACCAGTATAGGCGAAAGGATGAATAGACGGGCAGACAGGCGAATAGGTAGATAGAGGGACAGACAAGCTTATATGAATTCACAAAATGACTCCGACACGATAAGAGGAATAAATGCAAAACTTCCTTGTGCCATAGCACACTATAATAGCCTAACCTAACTTAATATAAGCATTATTGCGTACAAATAACCAACGGCGAATGCAGCAGTTAAACACGCCTTCTTAAACAAAACTCCTCGAAAATTCAACCTGGACTCCCGTATATTTCTCAAATGTCATTTGATGAAGAGAGAGAGAGAGAGAAAGATATAGGAAAAGAGAAGAAAAACTTCATAGTGAAATTGAACCACCAATATTTGAAGACATTACCACGTGACAAGATCAGTACCAGAGATATAAATGCAGACCATATATATATCATTTATATTAAAAAATGGCTTAAAGACTTTTCTTTAAACAAATGTGCATCAAAGATGAGAGAATCACGTAGAAGGGAAAATCAGAAAGCCGCGTAGAAGGGAACATAAGAGAGTCGTATAAAAACGAGCATAAGGAAGTTTCGCAAAAGTGAAAATGAGAGAATCGTGTCGAGAGAGTCGTACAAAAGTGCGAATTGTAGTTTTAAGTAACTTCTGTCATGGAAACAATAACAATATTCCGGAGGAAACAGTGGATCTACGATAACCAACGATCTCCATTGACAAATGCTGCACTTAGTTATAAAGCTCGATAGCACTTTTATAACTCACAGAATCACGTCCGATGTATTTAACACATAGAAAGACTGCCAATCAATTCAATATCACGATCTGAACATATCTGCTCGTTCGTTCGTGTTTGCGTATTTTTTTATTCAACCTGTAGGTCGCAGTTTTTAAAATATTTTAATGAAATTCGATACATTGAAGAGATTTGCCCGAGAAAAGAGAGAGAATCGCATTATTTTCACGACACTTATCATTTGAGGCCATGTTATGAGATGGTTTAGGGTATTTAAACCAAGATCTTGCCCGATTCTAATGCTGATGCGTATTGCTTTAAATGTAATGCAAGGTTCTTCTAATCAAAATGCTTTGCTTATAACATGTACGCTATCGTGGAAAATTGTAGTCACTCTTGCGACTCTCTCTCTCTCTCTCTCTCTCTCTCTCTCTCTCTCTCTCTCTCTC